ACCTAGACCTTACCTCCCCTACCCCTCCGGACCCTTGTTGGAGTTACGAAATTGTGCCCTGAAAGCTACCTGAGCGACCCGGGAATTGTCCAAGATTCTGCCATCCCAATTGATTTACATCTTGGGGCACCCTCTCGACCCGCGCGGGAAAATAAGCACGGTCCAAAATGGTCCTGGGCTCAAATCCCGGGCTGGTCGCGGCATGGTCCCGGCCAATGCCCTTGTTTTTTTTGTAGATTTTATCACGTTTTCTGTTGGTTTATGAGATTTTCAAAGGCTTTTCTGGCATTTTCCTAGGAATGCTCTAGGCTTTGTCTTTTTGGGTACCTGCTTTGGTGGTGGTGGGTTGGGTCTAAATTGGTAAACCTGGGAGGTACCCAAAAAGTCGACTTTTTGGGTACCTGCTTTGGTGGTGAAGGGTTGGGTCTAAATTCTTGGGCAATGATCGGGGTTCATGCAAGAGCTGACGTCCGATGGTAAATCTGGGAGGTACCCAAAAAGTCGACTTTTTGGGTACCTGCTTTGGTCGTGCTGGGTTGGGTCTGCACTCTTAAGGCTAAGGCTAAGGCTTAAGGCTAAGGCTAACATAGAGCAAGGCTAGCGCTAAGGTTCTATCCCTTGGGGGTCGGCGGCTGCAGGCGGTAGCCTGGTAAATATATATATAGAAAACTTGTATAGCTTAGGCCCTTCCCCTGTCACTAACGAAGTGCAACCTCAAAAGGACATGCTATTTCAGCTCACAGGATTTGAGTGTCCCCACACAAATTCCAAAAATCATGGCAGGATGAATCTCAGCATGAGTATAGGTCCTGCCAAGCCAAGCTCGTCTGTCAACAAACCAAAACTCAAGAAATCTCAAGCATGCTTCCCACTTAGCAATGGATCTTCCAAGCCATGACAGGTTCGCTTGCAGTAGGCGCGTGTTTTTACCTGAGCAGTGTGAGAATTCAAACACTGAACAAGTTCCCCATTTGTTGAAACCTTTGAGACTACAAGAAACTCCTCTGGTGCATATGTGGGTCTCAATTTCAATGAGAAGAGAACATGGGGTATATGCTTCCCGAACAGGTCCCAACCCTACACTCATGGCTGGTCACACTGGTCAATGTGGACAAAGCCAACCTGACAAAACCAAGTCATACCCTAAAAGGAGCAAACCGTACCCTCCAGGTGAAAGCGAAAGCATGAAATTGTGCAAGCAAGCGCCGTGAAAATTTCATCTGCCTCTAATCTTTGACTCGCTCTACATCAAGCAAGGCAAACAATTATAGGACCGGATAACCCCACATGTTGACAACTTCACCAAGCACAGGAGCGGACAGTTGGCGGTTGGTGGGTGACAATTGGTTGGTGGCAATTGGTTGGTGGCAGCTTGTTGGTGGCAGTCTGTTGGTGATAGTTGGTTGGTGGCAAATTGGTTGGTAGCAATTGGTTGGTGACAGTTGGTTGGTGACAGCTGGTTGGTGGCAATTGGTGGGTGGAAGCCCTGGAGTGCACCAAGTGCTGCGCCTGCCACACAAGTCACAGCACCTGCCACGCAAATCACAGCGGCACAGCGGCGGAGACCCAGCAGCCCCGGCCAGCACGCAAATCACAGCGGCACAGCGGAGACCCAGCAGCCCCGGCCAGCACCGGGGCGTACATCCGACAAATTGGTTGGTGACAATTGGTTGGTGGAAACTTGTTGTTGACAATTGGTTGGGGACAATTACAGTAGTTGGTGGCAATTGGTTGGTAGCAGTTGGTGGGTAGCAATTGGTTGGTGACCATTGGTTGGTGGCAATTGGTTGGTATGCAATAGGTTGGTTGCAATTGGTTGATGACAATTGTTGACAATTGGTTGGTGACAATTAGTTGGCGGCAATTGATTGGTAGCAATTGGTGGGTAGCAATTAGTTGGTGGAAATTTGTTGGTAGCAATTGGTGGGTGGCAATTATATATATATATAGTTGGTGACAATTGGTGCGTGGCAATTGGTTGGTGGCAAGCGGTGCGAGGAGGAGGAGGAAGGAGGAGGGAAGGACGAGTGGATACCAGACTAAAAACAAAAAACCCCACACGTCAATGAAACCAGTACTTGCAGAAATGGCTGGTTTCACAGTGACCCAAAATCCTCATTGATGGCAATGAACCGCCGCTTCAGCCCGGGGAGCATGGGTTGCGATTCTGCGTCTGGGTTTCCAACCAAATCATGGATAAACATAGCAATCATTGAGCACTCTTCCTCCTCTGCATCGAGATACTCAATCAATCCCTCACCTCAGGCCGTGCTCCCAAGCGGTCTAGGAGTCTAGGATTCCACCTGCTCTGAGGTGGAAACGCATCAAAGTTCCCCATTCCCATTCACCGTTTTTCACCTTCTCCACCTGGGCCAACAGCAGCAGGATTTGTCGCCCAAAGTAGTGTTTGGTGACTTCTGCTGTCAAGATTCGTGGTGTCCATGTATCAGCACCTTCTGCTTCTCATAATCAACAATGTACAATGGACGCGAACACCTCCAGCGAGAGGTAAAACTCTCATTGCCACTCTAACTCTAACTCTCATTGTCACTTGTCTTGATACATGATGTCAGTCTCCACCAGACCTTCCGCAGTCTGACGAAATGCGGATCTCATTGTTTTTGAGGTCTTGTTGGATTGACACCTGCATCAAGGATCATGTGTTTGCCGCAAGTTATTTAAACGTGAAACATTTCATTCAACTCGAAAAAAATATCAACCAGTATCAACCAGTTTGTCAACCTGGATAAACCGATTTGTCCCCACTTTGATAGAATGCTGAATGACTAGTTTGCCATTGACCCAATCATTCGGTGCGTTATTCATGAAACATGCACAAACAAAACCACACATTTATGAGAACAACATAAAACCAGCACCGACCCCAAACAGCATTTGTTCATTTGGTGTGCTTTCAACAGCCATGGCACACACACACAAACACAAAACTATTCACGTTGCCACGTGCTTGTCAGTTTTTCGATATGTGTTGCATATTTTCCATAATACAGTTGTGCAATTCGATCAATGCAATCATATGTTTTCAGTTTTCAGAAACCTGACGTTATACTTCCAAAGTCGCAACTCTGACTTTTCAGACGCACACCGTTGCGCGTATTACTATGTGTAGTTCGATAATACAAAATGCACCTGTGGATTTTGAGCATTCAAGCCTATGTTTTAGGAAGCGCGATTGTCTTTTCGTAGGCACAAACCTGTCCTTTCAACAGCATGCCGTTGCGTGTTACAAGCGCCCTTCCTCAGAAACAAGCTTCCACAGTCGAACTCTACCTTTCCAAAAGCATACCTGTGTGTATTTTCAATCATGTCTCTGCATTTCGACTCGTACGTACAAGCCTGTGCTCTCAGAAACAGGACGTTGCTTTAAGTCGAAACTTTGCCTTTCCAAAAGCATTCAGCGTCAATTCAGAGTATTTATTCAGAACGCGCCGTTTAGATGGCGGCAAGTGAAGGTTCGCCGAGCCACCAAGCGCATGCCATCAGCTGACCATCCAGCGATCATGGCTTCACTGGAAAATCATAGAATCGGAGATACAAGACGAGGAAGGGAGGCAAAGAGGACCGTGAAAGGTTGCCAGTGGGGAGACAAGAAAGAAGCGGGGAAACGTCGCGACAGGTTGGCAAGAAAGGAGACACGTTGGGAAATCGCAACATCTTGCCGGTGGCGAGAAAAGGAGGAAAACCAGTCTGGAAATCATGTTGTGAAGTGGGGGGGGTCATGTTGAGACGAAGGAGAGAAGTGAACAACAAAGGAAATAATAGTGCGGTGACAAGAAGGGTTGGCAGGGTGCCAGTGAGGAGACAAAGGCGAAATCATGTCGTGACAAGTTGCCAGCTGAAGACAAAAGAGCGACACATGGAAAGACAAAGGGGACATTGCCTCGGATGCAATTCCTTGAAGAACCAACACAACCCCAACAGCAAGCTGGTTGGGGAATTAAACAATAGATACACAAATAAACAATATCGATAGTTGAACCACTTAAAGCCTTACATCCTCCCCCCGCAAACAAAAATTCCATGAGGTCATGGAGATGTAGAGGCTGTGGTGAAGTGAATGGAAGCACTCGCGACAGGGGCCCAGCCACGCAGCGAGGTGCAAGGATAGAAGGGCGCGGGGGGCTTTGCAGGTGTGGCTGAAGAAGATCCTTCTTTGATATTTTTTTGCGCACGTAAACAAAGGAACAAGTGGAAAGAAAGACATACAGAAATATAGAAAGAGTGGCCAAGCAATAGAATGTAACCTTGAAATCATTTGACTGGATGGGCACGAAGACCTTGGCAATCCTTGGCATATGCAGCATGTTCCACAGCATGGCTACGAAGAGGCCAAAATTGTCTAGGACTAGGACTAAGTAGAGACTCTTCACTGCTGTGGGGTGTTGCCCGGTTTTTGAAAAATTGAGCCTGATTGACGCACCTCACAAGTAGCCGTGAGTCCACACAAGTTCAGTATGCTCGTTCTTTCTATGCGGGTAGAGCAACATGTGAAAGGTGGGGAAAGTTTCTGCTCAAGCGCCAAGCAAGCGGTTGTGAGCAAACTTTGCTGTACAAGACTCCAGGTCATCTGCAAACGTTGATTATATTATGATGGAAAGGTTACAATTCTAACTTAAGCAGAGAAAGCCAAACTAGCTGTTTTGCTTTGCGCAACAGCCACGGCTGCTCGTATGTGGCAAGCAACGCCACTACACACGGGATGTTAAACTTTGGTGGTGATTTCCCATGTTCATGCACAAAAATTGATTGGTCGGGTAGCTCATCTATCTATATATAATATGTATTATATATATATAGTATAGCTTCTATTCCGCAGTGCACTAGGGAGTGCCGCACCGTCTCACCCAATAGTCCACAGCCCGAATCTAACTGGAGTCTAATTGTTGGGGCACACTTGGCGCGCTTGAAACAGAACATTGACAAGGCCTGGGTACCCACCCTTGTTGTAAATGTTCATAGATGGTAGATAAAGACATATTCATGTTCTCAGCACTGGGTACTTGCAAAGGCCTCCGAGTCAATGTCTTTTCTGCGCCGCAAACTCTGCAGTGTGTTCCTACAATGCCCAAGACATTAAGGATATGTTACCCTCAATACAGCACTGTCTTATGGTGCTCCCAAAGGCAGGCTGTTCGATCAACAAGGGTTGCTGAAATGGAGAAGCTCAAAATGAATCCACGTTTTGCCTTCTAGTAGGCCCTGCTGTAACGCTTGGCAAGGCCAAGAATACGCAGTTACTTTGATAATTTGGATCCAAGCTCCCAGTAGCGTCCTTGTTCCTAGTAGTAAGGCCAGGAGCCCCTAGTAGCGTCCTTGCTCCTAGTAGCGATGCCCTTTGCTCCTAGTAGCGTCCTCTGTCTCCTAGTAGTAGTAGCGTCTCCAATACGCCGGAAGTTGGGCTGAGATTGCTCAAGGCCCCATTCAAACAACTCACCACATCACGCGACGCCGCCACGGCACAAATCATGACGACAGGCTCCAATATTCTTATCCGTTGGCAAACCGTAGATGAAAGTACAACGGATCTAAACAAACTCTTTGCTCAGGCTGGGTAATTATGCGCAAAAGGCGTGCATGACAACATTGCTCCTCAGCTCGGCAGGATTTCTGTGCATCCCCACCCTTAGAACAACAAAAACATGGGGTCTCAGTCTGTTTTCTTCTGATATGCACCATGAACTCCACACGTCCCCTTCTGTCAAGTCTCCATATACCATTCAAGAAGACCTGCCAAGGGAAGCCGTGCTATTTAGGAACAAAACAGTTTCAATCGTTCCACACAACAATTGTTTACAAGAAAACATCACCTTGGAATAGGTCTTGATGTGCTCTGGAGTGCACTCCATCAAATCTAAGACCTTGCATGGTCGTTTGCAGGCAAGTTTCTATGCATTGCAGAGTTGAAGTTAAGTGGGGTGTACGGTTCAGATTGCAACACACGCACAGAAACATCTTAAAACATCACTGCGTTCCAAGTGCACAATGAGGATGGTACCAAACCACAAATTTTCATGTCAAGGAATGTCCAGCGACTTGTGAACAAAAACATAAAGATCACAAAGGGCGAACCACCAGGTTGCCCATGTGGGGCCATGCATTTGCAGTTCTTTGTGCTTTCTGTTTTTGTATAAGTCTTAATTCAACTTGTCTCCCGTTGTCCCGTCTGAGGCTGCTGGTGGAAAAAACTTTGCTTCTGTGTGCTCGCTGCCTCGTCTGCGCAACATAGTGTTGCTGTGGCAAGCCGGTCCAGAAGTCAGCTAACGGGCGAAAGATCTCACATGTCCTCATGCCCTGCAGTATGGGGCCTATATACTTAGTCCTCGCAAGCCCCTTCACGTCCAAAGGCTGTTGCGCACAGATTGCGCAGCAAACCCGTACTGTCACTGGTGGCTAGCTGACTCCACGCACGGCCATCCGGCGCATCTTCATACCGCAAATATGGTCGTTGTGCGTGAAGCTCGACGCACCTGTCAGGCACTTCCTCGGGCTCCGGGTTTCCGGTTCCCGGAATGGTGTTTCTGGTTCCCGTGGTGCTTGTTTTGCTGGATTTGTTTTTTTGGTTCCGTCACGTCGGGCGGTGTTTCCGGTTCCCGCCTGGGAGGTTTTGTGGTTCCCGCTTTGGTGTTTTCAGCGACTGGAATGGTGTTTCTGGTGGCCGGGGGTGTTTCCGGCACCTGGAAAGGTGTTTTTGGTTCTCGCTATAGAGAAAAGTGTTTTGGGTTCCCGCCGGCGACAACACAGTCGGCTGCAACGAAAGGTGTTTGTGGTTGCCGGAAGGGAAATATAGAGAAAGGGTGTTTGCGGTTCCGCCGGCAAGAGAAATATAGAGAACAAAGATGAACAAAGGTTGTGGTTCTCGCCGGCGACAACACGGGCGGCTGCAACACTTGGAGCGTTGTGACGCGGGAGAACGCACGGTGGAGCAGTCGAGTCCACATGAAGTTTCGATATAAAATTATAAAATAGAAAACGCAGAAAACAAGAGCAGT